ATGACAACTAATAAAAAGTTTAGTATCAAGCAATTCTTGCAAAACTTTAAAAAACATTATTGAAAGAAAAATTGGATGTTTCCTAACATAATAAAATAAATTATTACACTATTATGGTCTCCGATCTGAAAAAACCTGCATGTGATTTGGCATTTCTTTATATTTACAGTTTACTAATGCTGCTCAAATGTGCCATTAATGTATGGACACAAAAATATATAGTGTATTTTATACAAATATAACTGATGTAAATGACAAAAACAAAGTTTAAGGCTGATGTCTATTAATTTTCACAGAAGCAAAGCAGCAGATGTTATAAATAAAAACAATTAATGTTATTAAATAGAATATATTAAAACCGTTATTGCACGACAGGCCTATTCTTATAGGCTACACAGACAAAACAGTCGGAGATGCGTTTATGCATTTTTTTTTCTATTTTACACATTAATAGTAAATCAAGACTTCGCAAGTTCTCGTGTAAAATAAAATAATTAAAAAAACATGGAATAAACTGTGTACAGAAAGCGAGTAAAGAACTCTCAACATTATAGGCTACTAAAAAGGTCAGTTTAATCTCGCAACAACTCCCATTAATAAAAAATCTGACTACACTGCACAATTAATCTCTTACACTGCATCTTTGTTATTTATGATGTGCATGCACGTATACCACATTTATTATTATTGCAGCTTAGATGTTCAAATAGCTGTAGTACTCCGACTTTGCCACAAGGAAAAGTGAGATTGACTGCTCAGAACCTGACGTGGCGGTAAGTACTTTTCCACGTCAAAGACCGTTTTTATAAAGAAGAAAGTGCCAGTGACTAAGAGAAAGTGCCAGTTTACTTTATCAAGTTAAGTCACTTTATTTGTATAGCGCTTTATACAATACAGATTGTGTCAAAGCAACTTTACATTGGCAAACAGGAAAATAGTTTGTCAATAATGCAAGAGGACAATAACGGAGTCATTTTTAAAGTTAAAGTCAGTTCATCGATGATTCAGTGATGTCATCATCCAGTTCAGCTCTCTTCCAGCTTGACTGATTGTCTGTGCAATCATTGAAAACATACATTTCTTTAACCAAGCACTTGAACAAACAGATTTATCTAGATTTTAATGTATTGCACATCTCATACTTAATAAAAAATAAAATTTCAAATCCAGCTGTTGCTCTCAGGAAACTGGATGTGGAGGTACCATCGTGGATCACAAGTATAACTAAACTGTCATATCTGTTGTCATACCAAAACAGTATAATCAGTGTTGTTTCAAAGTAAAAAGTGAAAAATAATCACAACCTTATCCTAATATGCACTTTATCCTTACAAGCATGCACATGCACACACAAGCACATGCATGCAAATTCTCCTACTTCACTAATGACACCTCATTGCTTGTGAAAACTGAGGAAGCAATTCTTCTCAACAGACAAATCATAATATGTACAGATATAGTATGAGAATCCCACCTTTTGCCAAACTTTTTTTTTCCCTCCCTTCGGCTGGTTCTTTCCTGTATACGTTGATTGACAGATGTCTCGTCCAGTCAGCGGTGAGTAATCCCAAACCAATGGCGCTGTCTCAAACTATACCTACCTTTTCCGGTTTGTCTGAATTGTCGTTGTGTTTTCTGATTGTTAATTTGTTTTCGGATTTGTCGTTGTGTTTTCTGACTTGTTATTTTGTTTTCTAATTTGTCATTGTGTTTTCTGACTTGTTATAATGTTTTCTGAATTGTTGTTGAACAGACAAATCATAATATGTACAGATATAGTATGAGAATCCCACCTTTTGCCGAACTTTTTTTTTCCCTCCCTTCGGGTGGTTCTTTCCTGTATACGTTGATTGACAGATGTCTCGTCCAGTCAGCGGTGAGTAATCCCAAACCAATGGCGCTGTCTCAAACTATACCTACCTTTTCCGGTTTGTCTGAATTGTCGTTGTGTTTTCTGATTGTTAATTTGTTTTCGGATTTGTCGTTGTGTTTTCTGACTTGTTATTTTGTTTTCAAATTTGTCATTGTGTTTTCTGACTTATAATGTTTTCTGAATTGTTGTTGTGCTTTCTGAATTGTAATTTTGTTTTGTAGACTTGCATTTGCGTTTGTAATTTGTTATTTTGTTTTCAGAATTGTGATTTGTTCTGCACCTCTCGGCCACCGTAAAATAGCCCACAAGGTGGGAGTATTGCATTTTATTAAGAGATCCATGATGATGATTTTCTGCTGTGTTCAATGATGAGCGCCAATGTATTCTTTTAACATTATATCAAATGTTGCAACAGCTGACATGAGGCCTATACAAATCCTTAACTACTGATTTTACATGTGTTCGTTTGTAAATAAAGGCTAACACAATTTAATCCACAGCACACACGTCTCAACATTACGAGAATAGGACAAAAGCCTGTCTGAGTCCTCTCTGTGTAGTCTACCACTTTTACACATGCTCCAGCTACATTTTTATTTCCATACTTTTGCATTACTTCTGTATAAAACAGTTTAAAATGACCCAAAGACGCAGGACCTTTATTATACAACTCTTAGACAAAATGGCGGATGACAACAGTTTCCAAGGTAGGATTGGTAGGTATCTTCAATGCATATAATGACTAGTCATAATCGCATTGTAGATATCTTAATTCCAATTACGACGAGTCAAAATTGCAGAATAGATATCTAGAATTGGAATTTTGACTAGTCAAAACTAAATTATGATTAGTACAGCAAGGAGTATTTAATGCTAAAACGGCTTGCCATACACGTCACACAACAGCACATACTAGGAGCAGGTACAATTCAGATATCTTAAAATATAATTGTGACTAGTCGAAACTGAATTAGAGATATCTCTAATTACCTTTGCGTATGTGTGACACCCTATTGAATATATCTATGATGTCATTACAGATATCTTAAATGGAGTTTTGACTAGTCAAAGTATTTAGAGATATCTCTGATCCGATTTCTTACTAGTGCAATTATAATTGCAGATATCTCTAATTGTCATTGTGACTAGTCGAATTATAATTATGACTCGTCAAAATACAATTGTTCCTATCTTAAATGATATTTATGGATAGTCAAAAACTTTTAAATGCTAAAACGGCTGGCGATACCTTCTCCTGCTAAGCCTTCGATCTGTCACATAATACTCGCCATAGGAAGACTACCATCTCTGAGCTGCGGGCCAGGCTCTGTTTCCTCCAGGGGGGCGGAGCTCCGTTGCCTCTGCCGAACCGGTGATACTTTTTTTCAGGATTCTTTGATGAATAAAGTTAAAAAGAAGAACATTTAAAATAGAAATCTTTTCTAACAATATACACTACAGTTAAAAAGTTTGGGGTCAGCAAATTAAAGAAATTAACACTTTTATTCAGCAAGGATGTGTTAAATTGTCAAGAAGTGATAGCAAAGATTTATATCGTTAGAAAAAATTTATTTTGAATAAATGCTGTTCTTTTTAACTTTTTATTCAATCAAAGAATCCTGAAAAAAGTATTGCAGTTTCCAAAAAAAACATTGATAATTCTATTAAATTAGCATATTAGAATGATTTATTAAGGATCATGTGACACATTATACTGGAGTAATGGCTGATTTAAATTCAGCTTTGCATTACAGAAATAAATTATATTTTAAAGGATATTAAAATAGAAACCATTACTTTATTAACATTTTGCAAGATTACTGTTTTTTTCTGTATTTTTGATCAAATAAATGCAGCCTTGATGAGCATAAGAGACTTCTTTAAAAACAAGTCTTACTAAAGTCTTACTGATCCCAAACTTTTGACCGGTAGTGTATGTGTGTGTGTGTGTATATACACACACACACACACACACACACACATAAACAGTATATAA